AGCATTAAACTTAAATGAGTCATTCACTCATTTCCCCGCACTGGCCACACGGAAATGGCAGCCATAAGAGCGAATGCTGAGAGTTATCATAAACTGACTGCACAGATGACGTTTTGAGGTGTACTTTCTTGCGTAAAAAAGTTTTAAAACTCCTTTTTTATTTCCTAATCAAATCAAATGAGGCCAAGCCACTCTATCGATTACAAGGGAAAGCACATACCAGCTCAATGTCTAGAGCCTGTTTTTTTAAGAATCCATAGAGTTGATTTCAAAATGCACAAGCATCCAAGCTAAGTTGGACACCTTTAGGACTTTCAAAATGCTTTTTTTGTGAATGCACCATAAGGGAGCAAATATGAGTAAGAGTAATTGTTTGTAGAAATAATCATTTTGTTGTCTGATAGGAAAAAAAACAAAACAAAGAAACAATTCGTCCTAGCAAAAAAAAAAAATGTTATGAGATAGCTGGGTATTCATTACTTATTAAAGTTCCAATTCCTAGAAATATTAAATATGTTTTTCTATCTTACTTTTCTGTGTGTTACTGGTGAATAATAAATAAATATTAGGTTTTTAGGGTTTACTTAGAATGGTACAAATAAAGATAGGTCATTACAAATAGAAGTTAGTATTAGTCTGCTGATACAGGCTTTTATAAAACTTTTATATAACAGGGCTTCAAAACTGTACATCTACTATGAAATTAAGGATTATAACAAATCACAGTGATAACAAATAGCAGTCAAATAAAAAAAATCTACCAAAAAAAAACATAGATTTCTCAGAAAATATCAAAGTACTTCATTAACTATGATCGTTATGAAAATACTGAAGGATCTTTCTAATTTGCTTTGTTGAGAAAACACTGGGTACTTTCCACTCTTGTCACATAACATGATCTCTGGGTAGTGAAGTTTTTAATTATTTACTTCAAGCTGCTTTCTAGCAGCAATGAGCTGTGTGAGAAGTAGCCTTATGCATCTTTAACTCAGACACTTTGTTTAGCAGAAGAACGCTGTTAAAATCTATAATGAATGTCCATATAGGATCTATCCATGTCACCAAAGAAGAATGTGATATTCATTTGAAACTCTTATCCTAAGAAATGAAGGCAAAGTACATAGCAATATTGTGCATTTGTGACCAAAAGTTGCAGTAACCTTGTCAAACAACTTGGCTAATTGACAATATACGTACAAACCTCTTCATATACTGAAGAGATATTATATGAAGAGATATATTTGTATGTTTCAAATGTAATACCTCTTGACAAAGAGTGAAGAATCTTACACTGATTTTTTTGGACTGCTTCACTGCAGTCCAAAGGCTTCCATCGACATTAGATATTGATCTAGAACATTTTCGGGAGAGGTGAGGGAAAAGGAAATTCTAATCATTGTTTTGGGTAGTAAATGAGAGAACCATTTCGCAGAAGATATTTAAAACAATATAGAAGGTGTATCAGTTGGGGAAAAATAATTATAACCCAGACATACAATTTGTTATAATATAACAAAAATGCCATGAATAGCTTAAACTTTCCCTTTTCTAATAATCAATGTATACATTTTTAAAGCTGTTATAGCAATCAAATCCTTGCGGTAATTAAGAACCATCGAATTTATCTGGTATTTTAATTACTTATGGTTGGTGTTTAGCTCCAACCTTTTGACGTCTGACAGTTGCATCACTCCAAAGATTCTTTGCTAAATTCAGACTCTGGCCTTGTCGCTTCATGTGTTAAATGTGTTAATACTATTTCCATCCATCAATTTTCGTCATGCTTATCCCTGCTGGGGTCGCTGGTGCCTATCTCCTATGTCTAGGTACAACCTGGACAGGTCACCAGTGTATCACAGGGCAAGAGGACATTTCAGCGACAAACAGGACAAACAAACAACCATTCACGCACACAGTCATACCTAAGGAGAATTTAGAGAAGCCAATTAACCTAATAGACTCTAGAAAGAAGCCAGAGTACCCAGAGAGAATCCAGCCATTCTCAGGGAGAAGAAGCAACCTCCATCCAGAAAGACCCCAGGCTGGTAATCAAACCTGGAACCTTCTTGCTGCAAGGCAACAGTGCCACCCACTGCGTCACTGGGCAGCCTTCAATGACTGAATGAGTTATAAGACCCAGAGTGCTGTTTTGGAGTAGCCTGAGCTCCCCTTAACACGAGCTAACTAAGCTAAAAATTGTTGTTAGGCAACAAAAAAAAAATAATAATAATAATACTTATCTCATCAGGTATTTTGTTTTCTAGTGTAGATTTATTCTAGAGGGGTGATTGTGGTTAAAGCGTGCTTGCTTCTTTTTCAGATAAGTTACTTGCAGTGGTTAGAGACTAAATAACAAATAAATAGATAAATAACTAAATATATAAATTACACAAACAAAAACCACCTGGTCTCTGCAGAGGCCCAGTATTTTCATGTGATTCAAGTGTGTTGCAGAAGGGAACTAAAAATTGCAAGGCCAAAGCTGTTATGATCTGGACCTGGGCACCCTGGGTTAGGATATGTGACATTAAACATATATTAAAAGGGCTGTATTTTTAACATTATTTGACATGATAACCACAAACTTTGTTACCACCCTAAAGCCTGCAGCACAGAGGCGTAGCCAGAACATTTTAATAAGGGTGGCCAGGCAATAACCTATGTACACTTAGGGGTGGCCGGAAGGGGATAGGTGCCAGAACCTCAGGGTCAATTTACACTGTTCCAACTGGAAAATGAAAAAAACACAACTATATTTTCTAAATAAAGACTAACTATACTTTCCTACAGCCTTTGCTAACAAATAGACGCATATATTTAAACATCCGTGCTGTCTAAATTAAAGGTATAGTGGACAGAATTCTTTCAGGTTTGAATTTTGGTACGAACATCTTATTCATTGTCATTACTAACATACTTTTATCAATAATCGTTCTGCATAAAATTAGTATTTACATGTACTTATATTTACATTTAATGGATTATTATTAAAGTAGTAACTTATCTCTAATTTCAATGAAGAGGTGACTTGGGTAGACATAATTTTCTCTTCACGCCATACGACAAAATATAGTTGTGAAAAGAGCATGAAATCTGTTAGTATATTCATGAGCATTAGCCTGGGTGCCAGTCCGAACTTAGTCCCGCCCACAAGGTTTGAGTTCGGGGAAGTTCGGTCTGGCTCTGCTCCATAGTAGCGCAAGTATTAAAGCTCACTGTCAGGCGATCCAATCAAATTGTCAGGGCGGGCTTTATACGATGATGGACAGATGATCAAGAGTAACGTTATCAACCACGTGACCAATGCGCGCTTGGGTGACAACAATAATGGCTGCCGCTGGAGAGTTTGGGTGAGTAGATTCTGCTATTAGGTCTATTCTAGAAGATATCGACAGCAAATTAATTTTAAAAGAGGAACAGAAAAACGCGATCAAGTCTCATCTTCTTATTCTAGGCGTGAAACTGCACGCTTTGATTTTTGTGGACAACAACTATGCCTCGCTTAAGATACGTCACGCACTCCGTTGCTCTTATTGGTTGTAGGTCTATCCAATTGAGTGCAGAGGCATTTTTTTTCCTGGTTCGTTCAAAACACGCCCCATAATCACAGCTCTATGGAGCAGTATCAGACTCATATTCTGACTAGAATTGAGTCGGACTACGTCAGGCTACATGAGCATAATTAACCACAGGGTTTTTGTTTTTTTAAGTAATTTTTTATATTTGAAGAATTAAAATGATAAATAAGTTAAAACATTCCACTTAAGTGGATTACTGCTGCCACCGTCTGTATCAGAGGGAAGAAATTGTAGGGTGGCCACAGGGGTGGCCAATGAGTGGCTTAAAGGGCTGGTTATACTCCTGCAGCAGTGTGTCGCAGTGAGCTTGATGCAGACATTTTTGATTTATGCCCAGTTTTGAGCGTGGTCTGCGCTATACGCTGTTGGTCTAGATACGGCCGAGGCGGTGAGTGAGGAAGTGGGGGCAAGTTTATCTGACAACAGAGACATGAGGGCGAAAAAGAGCGGGGATCCAGGTGGAAAAAGGGTTTCCAGCATTCTAGCGCATTTTGCTCTTCTAGCTGGTCTAAATTCACACATTCTTTTCCGCAATTGCGGTCATAAAAACAAAACAAGCCGGCCTCCTGTCTATGACACTGTCTGCGGTCACCTACAATTTGGGAAAGGTGCAGCAGAGTGTCTGCGGAAGGGGCGGGGACGTCTTTTTGTTCACTGCGACTAGTGTTGCACCGATACCGATACCAGTATTGGACGGGGCCCCGATACTGCCCTAAAATTGTGGTATCGGTATCGGCGAGTACCAACAAATAGGGCACCGATACCATTTTGAGAGCCATAAGTTTATTCAACTATTGTCACCCATTCCTGGTAGGCAATAAAAACTTTTTATTTTTTATTATCACTTTGTTTTTATTCACTTTGTATTAGATTTTTTCCTGCTTCACAAAGGTAGGCAGCAGCTTGACAAAGCCATAATGGCAATTATTTTTACATTATAATGATATCGGTATCGGCCGATACTGCACAGCCAGGTATCGGGGCCAAAAAATGGCATTGGCGCAACACTAACTGCGATACGGACGCAGAGGACCTTGTTCCAAAGTATAAATCAGCCTTAAGGGTGGCCATGGCCACCCCTGGCCCCCCATCTACCTCCACCCATGCAGCTGCACAACCAGTCACTTGCAAAAGTCAGCTGATGAGGTAATGTAAAAAAATGAATCATGATTCAGATAAGCACCAGACTTGTGTTTATGACAAAAACCTTATTTTAAAGTAAGAAATAATTAATGGAAGATTATCAAGGCTGTTATTCCTTAGATGCTACTTCTAAGTCCTCCCTCGTGTCCTCCTCATTTGTGGCACAAATATGTTTCCATGCGTTTTCAGTAAAATCATTTGGGAGTTATAAGTTTTGACCATTTTATGAGGGCAGGTGAAGGGTGCTTGCGTGCCTCCTTGTGGAGTGAGTGCGTCAGCACTGGAGGAGGCTCCGGAGGGAAGGGTTTGCAAACAGGAAAGAGGAGAAAGCTATAAGAGGAGCATTAATTGACAGAAGCGTCAAAGCATCTAACTGAGAGGATGGGAGGGAGAGACTGCTTAGCGCACACAATGAAGCTTTAAATAGATTTTTTATTTTTATTTTATTTTTTATTCTCTCATTTGCAAGGCTACACCTTGTTTATCACAAAACGACACTTGCATTGAGACGAAGTGAGGATTCTGCAGCTGTTTTTTAAACTTTGGGTCGACGACGCGCTCCTGCTGGGGCGCTTCTTGATCAAATGCTGGATAAACTGGTAGGAAAAGTGTCGCTTTCAGCGCGTGAGGAAAAGACAGCTTCGCCCTGTCTGCTCCTACCGACACCCTGCCCAAAAACTCTCCTACGGCTTCTTATGTGAATTCTTGTTCCTGTTCGCTTGGATTCTGGAAGAAGCGCTGAGATCTGCTGAGAGAAGCATCTGCGATCGCCTGTGCGCTCAATATGTACCAGGGGCATTTACAGGTAAGGCTCTGCATGGTGTCCAGCATGACGGAACAAACAGGCGCACTTAGTTCATATAGCTAAAGCATTTGGTTGATCTCAGATCAGGAAAGTTTGACTTCTGCTGATTTCTCTTTATATGAAAATAAATAAATAAATAAATAAATTGATTAAAAAAACAAACAAAACAAAAAAACTCAGTAGGCATGCTTTCCAGGTTACAGATGCATAGAGTTAACTGTGCATGTCTAAAACACGTGCATCAGCCGGAAAAAGGTAAACATCCTGGCAATGTTGGAACAAGCAAAACAACTGTATGTGAAAAAAAACTAAACTTATTAATGACTCCAAAAAAAAAAAGAAGAAAAAACTCAAGGTATAATACCACTTTACAAAAATAGCTATCAATAAAGCGCACTGTCATATCTCAGCTTCTTAGGTTGACGTCAATCTGTTATAGTAAAGTATTCAAACACTCAGCTGTCTGATGCTGATTATAAAGATAATATCAGACAACAACAGAGTGATTAATGAAAGCCTTATTTAACTCCAAATGCCTGCATTTTTAGGTCATAGAGATACTGTATTCCAGCTCCTAGACAGCTGATTATGTAATACCTGACTGCCACTGAGTCAACATCCTACACAATAAAACCCTATAATTCGTCATGGTGTAATTGTGTCTATAAGAAAAGCTTTTAGAAGTTTTCAGAAGCATTATATTCCTTCATCTAAGTATGTTTTCCATGCTTCATTCACGGTTTGATGATCACACTATGTTTCTCATGACATGCATGCAAGTCATATCACCGCACAATACAGTTAAGGACTTGCCTGAAACATATTCAGCAAGAACAAATGTCTAGAAAATGAAAAGCAGATGCTCTATTTGTAGGTAATGCTAAATATCCTGCCACTGTCAACAGTTTTTTATTGTAAGTAATATGGACAATGCGCATACGAACATGTCAAATCATCGTGATTTTTATTTTTTGTTTGTTTTGCAATAATGTATATGAATATACAGTATGGACATAAGAGGAATTGGTAAGGGTACATCTGTCTCCAAATTTTGATAGGAACAAATTATATATATATATATATATATATATATATATATATATATATATATATATATATATATATATATATATATATATATATATATATATATATATATATATATATATATATATATATATAAAGAAACCAAAAAAAGATAGAGCCAAATGTAAAACTTTTTTTTTTCTGCAGGTAAGGATGCATGCATTTAAAAAGTGAGATTATTTCTTATGGTAATAAGGATAAATACAAAATTGACTTTGCATGTATGTTATGCATGGGGACAAGAACAACAGATGATTGATAAACAAATCTACAAAAAATATTAATTTGAACTTGTTTCCCCTGTTGATGTGACCTCTAGATGGAAGCATGTGGTATAAATAATTTAGAGCTGTGTCTCTCCATTGCTTGGGATTTTAAATGATGCTCATACACAGACTACCAGTGCATGACTCAGTTTTTCATAGCCTCAGTTATCGTATCTCCTTCCCTGAAGTTCCTATGCTTTGTAAGTACATCTTTATTGCAGTTACCAGTTAATCAGATTTGACTGCTTGGTAATTGCAACTCATGATGCTTTATGATACGAGGGTCCAGTTTAATCAGGATAATATTTAAATGGATAACATTCGTTTTTTGTTTTGCAAGACTTGCATATTATTCAGTTGTGAAGGATCTGCACACAATAATCCAGTATTGGTTGGATCGATTTATCTTGGCATGAGCTCGTTCTCATGAATTAGGCCACCCCTCCTCAAGATTTGCCTGTTTGGATCAATTCCACATGTATAACGTCATACCTTGGTATAAGGGGTGGCAGAAACACAATGCTGAGCTCTTCTCCTATATTTTTTAAGTCATTTTTTTCTCTCTTACTGCATCAGCATCTCCCTGTTGTTACTGTTTTGTGCATGAAGGCATTATATGTATTTTCTAAGGGACAAAATGATTTACAGTATTCTGTGTTTGAAAAGATTTGTGCACTTAAAGATAAGCAGTGCAGAGGTGTGGATATCATTATATGTTTCTCTTTGTGTAAAGATGCAACTGGATATGCTGAGAGGGAGGCTGACTCAGCACAGCTGTTCTCCTGTCAAACAAAACAGACACATATTGTTGTCGGCTTGGTGTCTGGTTTATTTTATGTTATGTGTAAAAAAAAAAATTCTTCAAACTTTCTCCATTTATTCTCATTATATATCCTCCTATACCGTTTGGAAGGACGGAACAATCACTGCAGCTTTTCTTGGCATCTTAATGTTTGCTGTAGAGCTAATTAAGGTTGTACTGTTACAAAAATATATTTAAAAGGAATTATGCTCTGTGGCCTTCATATATTTTCTCTGTTATGCACAACATTCTTACACAATTTGATTAGCATATTCAAGTGAAGGAAGAATCTTGGATGGATACGAATGATGATAAGAAGTAGATCAAGTCTCTTAAGATTCGAGTTATTTGCATGACTTTTTTATGACGCTCACAGTTTGATCTTCCTGGTCAAACACTGTTCATAGATTGTCCTCCATTCAATTGTAGTCACACAAAACATGTTTTCTTTTACATAATATTTTGTTTTGTAGTCTTTTCCTGTGCTGTTGAACCCTGTAATAATCTAGTGCAGTCTAATGCGTTTTTCTTCTGGGGATTCTGTTATATCAAAATGCATTGAAAGCATGCAATTAGATATGTAAAACTATAGCTTCTACATGTAATTCCGAACGCGGGAAAAAAAAGGGAATTTATACACAATTTTTTTGGAGACTTTCTAATTTCATTAAAATTCATTTCATTAAAAACAAACTTAGCAATCGGACAGGATCTGGTTGGTCCAGGTTTCTTTCTAAGTCTCCTTGATTTACTGAATTGTGTTTGATTAGAGGTGGTCTAAAAACATAAGGAATTTTGTAGTCTTTATTTTCAGTTAAGTTAGAAGTAAGCTCAGCAAAAATCACTGCCATCCTTTTTGGTAATATATATCACAAAATTTAAAAACAAAAAAGTTAATGAGAACTTAGTTGAGTTTGTTTTGGAGGTAGGAGTTACATTTGATTATTTGATATTATGTCCCTATTGTTTCTCATTAACTGTGATTTTAGCTCCCAAAATATTACAGAGTTATTTCATTCCAGAAAAGTGTTTAGCAAAATTTTTTTTCCCCAGATGTTCTTTTTGAATCAAAACATAAAATATCTTTCTATTGTCAACTATCCAAATTGGGGTTTTGTCTCTTTGAAAGCTGAAAGACTTGAAAACATAGGGTTAAATGCACATCATGCATAGATCTGTAAAAACTTGCTTTATCTTAAGATCGAAAAACTACAAAAGATTTTTATCTTTTGGCATAATGTTAACAGTGTTAAAGGTATAGAGAACAATCTTTTATTTCCGGGCAGATCATCTAAATAAGTGGTCCTCCTAATTTTTTTATTTTTTATAATCTTCATTCTGATGATATGTTTATGTAAGGCTGTACTACGTGCTCGTCCCATTAGCTATCTTTTTCTGCGCATGCACACTTTCAGCGGCATATGTTTTGTGAGCTACAGTTTCAGACAGTCAGTAAGGCTCACCTTTCTCACCGCGGCCCTTTGAAAATGGCTGAGGGGCATAAGAGAAAAAGTGTCTATGAAGTGTATTGGGAGAACAGAAATGCATCAGAAGAGGCAGACGCACAGAGTGTATACAAAAAGAAATTTTGCTCAGTACAGCACTCAATGCATTTCCATTTTTAAAGTGCAGCAGTGATAAAATGTAAACGTATATCTCAGAATACTTCGCACAGAGAGCTCTTAGTGCAAAGCATTTTGGTATTTAGTGTCACAACGGCTCGCTGTTGCCATTGGCTGTCGCTGCACCCGACAGGCACCGTGCGGTGGAGGAAGATTTACTTGACCAATGGAGCAAATAGCAGAGATAATCTGTCCGATCGGCCAATTAACTGAGTTTGCTGTAAAGTCCACTATATAGTACCTGCTGTATATGGACACAGTGAGCGTGTTTTAGCTATTAGAACAGCACATCATAAACAGGGAGTGCACAAGAAGAAATATGCTTGTGCATCCTCTTGCACATGCATTTTTTTTTTTTTTTTTGGAGAGGGCGGGTCTTTTAAAAAGATCCTCCACAATACCTTAAATGTTTCAAGGACAGGGTAAGAAGATTATATAAATTAAGGCTGTGTCAGAACGTCCGCCCTTATCCCTATAGAGCACTATATAGTGGTTACGCCATTTTAGATGAGTTTCCAAAGGTCTGGTGGATGGAAAAGTAGGGGTTTTGAAATTTCATACAATGCACCGTGAGAAGTAATGATTATCCATGGTCACTAGATGAGGAGATATATCACAGAATATTTGTGAGAGCTCTCTCTACAAAGCATCATGGGATTTGCTGTGGTGGACAGACAGAACAAAGATGACCCAGCTGGGGAGGTGGAATTATGTGACCAATGGGGAGCGAAAAGTACTGTAGTGATCATCTGTATGAACGGTCAGTTAACTGAGTTCACTACATAGTGTCCGCTCTATATATTAATTAAGGATTTTAAAGGGTAGTGCGGAAGTTCGAACACAGCCTAAGTATATTTTTTGCAAGTAGCACAGGATCAATTAGTATATTAATTGAAATCCACATGCAGTAAAAAAGAGAATATTTCAAATGTCCACACATCTCCCTGATGTCATTTAAAAGTGCTTTATTTGATTCCTAGCAATATATTTATGCAGAGAAACCTTTAAAACATTTTTAATGCAGATATCAGTTGAATACAGTCTTATGCTCCGTTCACACCGGGGGCAGCTGGCGCGACAGAAGCAGCGAGTTTACATGCAAAGTCAATGGTTGACGCGCGTCAAGGCGCAGCAAAATGTCCCGCGGCTCGTTTCGAGCAGCAAGCGCAGCGCGTCTGAGCAGCCGAAGCAGCGCGTCGGGCGCGTTTTGGCATCTGACGCGCG